TTTTTTTTTTTTTCTATTTAGTTAACAAACTTTCATGACGTGAATCTTAGGTTTGACAGGTGAACCCAATTTGATGGGTTAACTTAGTCGATTCAGATTTTTTTTCTTTTATCTCATTGGTAATATGCTTATGTCTTTTGTTTGTTTTAATTATTTTTTTTCGTTTAGTTTAGGTTGTTAATGTTCACTTTTTTTTCTATTTCTTTTAATGAATGTTTTTTTGTTTAATTTAGTTTGTTAATGTGAAATTTTTTTTATTTAGTTATCATACTTTAATGACACGGATCTCGGGTTTGACGTGTTAATCTGGTTTAACAAGCTAACCTGAATTTTTTTTGTTTTTTTTCTTTTTAATCAATTTTTTTTTTTAGTTTAGTTTGTTAATTTTTTTTCGTTTGACCCATTGATTTTGTTTTTTTAGTTATCATATTTTTATTACACGGATATCAGGTTTGATGAGTTAACCTGAATTTGTTTTTTGTTTTTTTCCTTTTTAATCAATTTTTTTCGTTTGACCCATTGATTTTTTTTTTTTCTATTTAGTTAACAAACTTTCATGACGTGAATCTTAGGTTTGACAGGTGAACCCAATTTGATGGGTTAACTTAGTCGATTCAGATTTTTTTTCTTTTATCTCATTGGTAATATGCTTATGTCTTTTGTTTGTTTTAATTATTTTTTTTCGTTTAGTTTAGGTTGTTAATGTTCACTTTTTTTTCTATTTCTTTTAATGAATGTTTTTTTGTTTAATTTAGTTTGTTAATGTGAAATTTTTTTTATTTAGTTATCATACTTTAATGACACGGATCTCGGGTTTGACGTGTTAATCTGGTTTAACAAGCTAACCTGAATTTTTTTTGTTTTTTTTCTTTTTAATCAATTTTTGTTTTTTAGTTTAGTTTGTTAATTTTTTTTCGTTTGACCCATTGATTTTGTTTTCTGTTTAGTTATCAAACTTTCATGACGCGAATCCTAGGTTTGACAGGTTAACTTGATTTGATGGGTTAACTCAGTTGATTTAGATTTTTTTTTTTGATTCAGATTTATTTTTTCTTTTTTCTCATTAGTAACAGGCTTATGTCTTTTTGTTTGTTTTTGTTTTTTTATTATTTTTAATTAATTTTTTTCATTTAGTTTAGGTTGTTAATGTTCAATTTTTTTTTCTATTTAGTTACCTTTCATGACACGGATTCCAGGTTTAATAGGTAACCTGGTTTGACAGGTTAGCTCGGTTAATTTTGGGTTAACCCGTCAATTTTTTTTTCTATTTAGTTATCAAACTTTCACGAATTTTTTTTGTTTTTTTTCTTTTTAATCAATTTTTGTTTTTAGTTTAGTTTGTTAATTTTTTTTCGTTTGACCCATTGATTTTGTTTTCTGTTTAGTTATCAAACTTTCATGACGCGAATCCTAGGTTTGACAGGTTAACTTGATTTGATGGGTTAACTCAGTTGATTTAGATTTTTTTTTCTTTTTTCTGATTAGTAACAGGCTTATGTCTTTTTGTTTGTTTTTGTTTTTTTTTTATTTTTAATTAAGTTTTTTCATTTAGTTTAGGTTGTTAATGTTCAATTTTTTTTTTCTATTTAGTTACCTTTCATGACACGGATTCCAGGTTTAATAGGTAACCTGGTTTGACAGGTTAGCTCGGTTAATTTTGGGTTAACCCGTCAATTTTTTTTTCTATTTAGTTATCAAACTTTCACGACACGAATCCAAGGTTTGACGGGTTAACCCAGTTAATTCAGATTTTTTTCGTTTTCTTCATTTGTTTTTTTTTCGGGTTTGACGTGTTAATCTGGTTTAACAAGCTTACTTGAATTTTTTTTTCTTTTTAATCAATTTTTTTTTGTTTAGTTTAGTTTGTTAATTTTTTTTTGTTTGACCCATTGATTTTTTTTTTGTTTAGTTATCAAACTTCCATGACATGATTCCTAGGTTTGACAAGTTAACCTGATTTGACGGGTTAACTCCGTTGATTCAGATTTTTTTTTCTTTTTTCTCATTAGTAACATGCTTATGTCTTTTTATTTATTTTTATTTATTAATTTTTTTCATTTAGTTTAGGTTGTTAATGTTCAATTTTTTTTTCTATTTAGTTACCTTTCATGACACGGATTCCAGGTTTAATAGGTAACCTGGTTTGACAGGTTAGCTCGGTTAATTTTGGGTTAACCCGTCAATTTTTTTTTCTATTTAGTTATCAAACTTTCACGACACGAATCCAAGGTTTGACGGGTTAACCCAGTTAATTCAGATTTTTTTCTTTTTCTTCATTAGTTTTTTTTTTTCCCTATTGGTTTTTTTCTTTTCAATTAATTTATTTAATTATCATACTTTTATGACATGACATTGCAACCAAATCCACATCCAAGGCTATTGAGTCTAGTATTAGAGTCAGACCTATTGGGTTATGCAAGTTTAGTATTATTATTATTATAAATATTACTTTTGGGTCAGACGTTATAGCTACACCCAAGATTTTTGGGTTAGGCTTTGCAGAAAGACCTAACACTTTTAAATCTTAATTTTTTTTTGTATTTTTTATAAAAAAATTAACCTGCAGCATCACGCGGGTTACGTGATTAGTTGGTTCCTATATGTGGTCATAGAGTACTTTTGGTGGTAATTACAATCACTCTGTATTGAAATCTGTAAAATATATCAATTATTTTTAAATTGATTTCACCATATTCTCCTTTGTGTAATCTTTCACTTAATATTTTTTCTTACTAGCTTTTCATCATGTCTGAGGAAACTATTTGGTTTATATGGTAATATCTAGCCATGCAATTTGAAATTTGTGCCTCTTAATTGTGACTGAGATGCTAAATATTCTTGCAGTGTTCAAGCACTGCACAAGAAATTACTTATGGGAGAAAGTTTTCAGAGGGGAAGGAATGCGAAAGCTGTTATGGACGATGTGTATTGGCACTGTGACCCTGAAATTGTCCAATCAATCTGGACACTTGTTCGCATGAGTGGTTCTGACGATGCAAGTAGTATCAGACCATTGGTGTCTGATTTTGTGTCCAAGGTATCAATTTATACATGTTCAGGCCTTTGAACTTTATATATTTTGTTTGCTTGCTGAGAACAAGAAGCTAAGGTTTTTTATTCTATTGATTGTGATTTCAGGTTGGCATTGGGGACCCACATTCCGTTGTTTTCCATCTACCTGTAGACCATGGTCAAATGAAAGTTTGTCAACAATTGAAGATCACCAACCCTTTTGAAGTGAATTTTAACATGGATACTGGTGTATCTGAAGAACTACTGATTACGCTCTTGAAACTTCTGATGAAATATCTGATGGATGATTCTGTTAGAATTGTTGATTTGACCTCACAATCTCTTCGGGTAAGCATGGGGAGATTTAGATGGTTTTATCTACTGATTGTTTTTATCTGGTTCAAGTTATTTCTGTGTTTGATTGATTGCTCCTCCTGAACATCTGAGATCTTGATCAATGTTGCATTCAATAAGTTTGGAAGTGCCAATTAGCCAATTTATTGCAATGTCTGTTACAATTTTGTGCAATGTCATGGTTGAAATTTTTATTTGGGATCGGTGTTGGTTGCCTAAAGCTGGAAAAAATGTACCAACAGAAGCATTGAAATATGCTTAGAGCACTGGTAAAAACTGTTTATATAAAACCTTAAAAACTAAAAGTGCATTAAATGTCAATATGTGAAAGATTTGTCAAATAGTGCTTTTCCCTTTATGCTATTTTTTGCTCGGCTTTGTGGATGCAACAATTGATGTGTTTATGTGGATTGGTATTTGTTTGATTCTGGCATGTTTTTTTTGATAAGTAGTTCAAACACTGGTATGTTATGTACAGTGTAAAGGTTGGGTAACTTAATTGAGATTATCGTAAATCATGCTGTTACTTGCATTTAAATGTGTTTAATTTTTTTTCCCAGAACCTGTCTTCTGAATATTCTTTTTTATTTTAAAATTAAGAAAAAAAAATGAAGAAAATTGTTTGTATAGACATCTTAACTAGTTTGTAATTGAAGCACACTTGAGCTGAGTTAAAAAAAAAATGTTGCTTTGTTATTCCCCTTTTCAATTTTTATAAAGTTATTTTATGTAATCAATCTTGTTTCTATTATTACAAAGTCACTGATGTAGAACATGCTTTGCCTTTTGCTTAAAGTCACATCAAAACAACTGTGCTTTATTTTTCATCTGAACGTAAATGTTTGGTAAAATTAATTACAGTAGTCCCTTAAAATCTTCAATTCGTAAAAGCATGAGATCATCTGCTTCTTTCAAAAGTGGAATATGCTTCCACAATTAGCCATTACTTTCTATTTTTATTAGGCAAAACTATCCTTCAACCTTCCAAATAAGTATGGTTTTATTATTACATGTATACAGTTCTTTGTTTCACCAAAAACAAGCTGAAGCACATAAATAGTAATTTTTTTTCCTTTTAATTTTGTGTTAGTTAATCTTACTTGTTTCTCTTTTTTTTTCCTTTCATATCCACCCCCATAGATGAAAAAAGACTTGTGTTCTTATTTGTCATTTTGATTCCCTACACCACTTTTAATACAAGTTTAACCAAACACTTGTTGCTTGCTTTCAAACTCAGTAGCACATAAATAACTGAACATCCATCAACTTTTATTAATTCAGTTTTCATTTTTAGTGCTTGTTCCTATAGCAACACCTAACTTGCAAGGACAACAAGGCCAAACAGATCCATAATAATTCAACTTTGTGTCTGAGGATATTTAATCCCTTTCTCTTCCTTAAATCAGTTATGCCCTTGGTGAACATTCTTTTTTCAACTTCGTTTCCGTTTCTTTTAATTTCATGTTTTATATGGAAGTTTCAGATGATATTTATTATAATGCCAAAAAGCTCTATACCCTTAGGTATGTATTCTACTAAGGGAAATGAAGATCATTCTCATACGTTTTCCCCTTGAACAGGGAATACTCTCAACTGAAAGAGGTCAAAGAGCTCTGTTGTCATTTGGTTCTTATGAAAGGTCTCTTATTGAGGTACACATATTCTTGTTGACAGTTTGTTTATTAGAGCAGTTGAGGAGTGTGATTAGTACTTAAAAGTATATTTTTATCAAGGTTTTATATCAGCATTTTGCGTTTTACTGATAAGGTCCTTGATATTATTTACTGACAATATGGGGAAAATGTTTTCATTTTGGCATAGCAGGCATGGTTTTTACTCTGGTCTGGTGCTGCTATCCCAGTACCACATGCATTGTTGCTGATGTTTAACTTATTATCATAAGGATGGTTTAGGTATTGTTTTGAGATTAAAATTTTAAAGTAATGTGAGAATACCAATGTAAGTAGGATGCATGTCTAGGTTTGGAAGTGCTTTCAGATAGGTTTAAATGTAAAAAGTGATGAGAAAACAAAAGATATGGTGATCTTACAGAACGTCAATAGCTGATATCTTCACCTTTTTAACCATCCATTTTGAAGCTGTAATTCAACTCTGATAGAGCTAGACCATTA